ATTGATTCTGATCTCAATTCTCTCTTAGCAAACAATCTTGCTAAGTGTGTTCCCAGGAAGTCAAATGTGCTTTCAATAAGTCGATCCTTTATCCTACACGTTTAATCGTAACAACATCCTGACCAAGGTCAATCTTTGGTTCTGAATTTGAAAATAAGCGCAAAAGAAATTGAGAGAGATTTCTGAAGTTATTTGAATGCTTTTCAATTCTTACGTTGGAATTGAGTCATCGCTTTAGCCCTCGGCTTAAAAGAAAATTAAAGAAAATGAAAATATAAGAAAATAAAGAATTTTTATTAAACTAAAGAAAGGAAGAAATCAAGCAATCTAAGATATATTTGAAGTTCTATCCAAGGTGGGTATTTATAGCTTCCTAAAACCCTAAAAATGTTAAAAATAATTCTAAGAAAATACAAAATATAATTCCTAAAAATTGTTTGAATTTAAATCATAAAATAAAAAGATAATTCCTAAATTATTGAATTTGAAATGCTCCAACTGTCAGTCTACCTTCTGAAAGCTGCTAATTGGACCTTCTAGAAGCTGCTGACTCACTGCCACATCAACATTTCATGCTCAAATTCATGCCCACTGTTTCAACCTTTATTTCACAACAAAAATTACAGTTTTCATGCCTTTTAAGCACATTTTCCAAAATTCATTGCTCTGCATAGAAATAATTTAAAAACGCCAAAATCAACAATAATAAGAATGAACAAACAAGGAGTATTTAATCACAAATTATAGCACAAAATAAACACTAGTAACAATCATTCAAACTAATCCAATGAATAAAAACTCGATCACCAATACTCCATTTAGTGTAAGAAACACCCGGGGTAGATAACTACTCCTCTTCAACTATATATTAAACATGCAATGCTCAAGACAGTTGCATACATAGTTTATCCATAGCTGATTTATTGGCTCTCCATATACAAGAAGAAATTGTTGACTATAAATTTTGTTGGCCTGAACTTCCAAAAGAGCTCTTCTCTTACATTGCTAAACACATCAATAATCGAATGAATGTTCCTCATTTATGAGACGTATAAATCTCTTAGAAAGATTCAGTTGATGTGCTACCTATAATATCTACACTATGAGTACAAGTCTCTTCCTTTTTAATCGTTCGACGAGGCTTCTTTTTCCTTCTCCATATCACAAATGATTGTTTATTGCAATAGTCAATTATGTTGAAACTCATTCCAACTATAAAAAATGGTTCATCAAGGTTGAAGAAATCAAGCAAGATAACAAGTTTCTTGTTTTAAACCCAATTCAGTAGAGCAACAGATCAAGAACTTGCATATTTTCTTCACTAAAGATCTAATCCACCTTACCTTCCAAATTCTGAAAAGCTCAGGTATATTCTCGACCCTAAAGTTAAGATTGTTTAGCTCTTTAAGAAAGGAAAAATGTATCTTCTAGTTCTGATGCTCTACAAATTTAGGTTTAAAATGCAAAACTTGTTGTCTTGCTTGGTTTCTTCAACTTTGTTGAACATTTTTTATAGTTGGAATGAACTTCACAACCTCATTGATCATTGTGATAAATAATCATTTATGACGTAAAAAATAAAGAAATAGACTTTGTTAAAAGATTAAAAAAGAAGCAACTTGCACTCGTAATGTAGAAGATATAGAGATCACATCAGCTAAATTTTTCTAGGAGCTGCATAGGGTCCGAAAATGAACAACATTGGCTTGATTATTGATACATTTAGCAGTGCAAGAGAGGAGTTCTTTTGGAAGTTCATGCCAATAAAATTGATGGGCAATAATTTTTTCTTGGATGGAGAGAGTCAAGAAATCAACTATGGAATGTCGGCCATCAACAAGCAAAATCGAAGATCCGACTCAAAGACACCAGAGGTCTGATAAAAAGACGATTCTGAAGAAGCTGATGGCTCTCAACATCATTACTGATCAATATTCAGAGAGATTCGAAAATTGTTTGCATAAAAGAAAAAAATGTTAAAAAAAAAGAAAACACATTGATAGGTGGCGGTCGCTCAAGCCAAAATACAATGGCCACCCTTCGGATAAGAAAACAAAGAGAATATTGGGAGAGAAAGAAGAGTATTTGCCATAAGGAGGTATGAATGACCAACATGAGAAAGAAAGAAATAAAAATTAGTGACACGAGTTACGTCTAAATTTTAATTTTTTTAAATAATTATATTTATTTTTTTTTAAAATCTGGATGTGACATGTGTCACTTTAGTCACCTAAAATGTAACGGATAAAACTTTAGATACTTATTTTTAACGATTTTTTTCAAACACTAAAACATTTTTCAAAATATTCTTTAAATACTTATTTTTGTATTAAGTCTTTTGAAAAATAAAAATTTCTATATTAAAATGAAATAAAAGTAAGAGCTTAGATACTAAATGTGTAATTTACTTTAAAATTTAGGGTAAAGTATAGTAATGATCACTGAACTTTTCTAAAGCTTTCATTTAGGTTTCTTAACTTTTAAAACTTACAATACAATCCTCAAACATTTAGTCCTTTTATAATATGGTCCCCGACTTTTAATTGCTGTTAGTACATTTGCAATATGGTCACTAAACTTTTTACACACTTGCATTTATGTCCCCCAACTTTTAAAACTTACAACACAGTCCTCAATTTCATTTTAAACCCCAAATTCCTTTTCAATCTTGAATTTCCTTTTTTTTGCTTCCATCTTCTCATTTCCAGCATAATTTTTTAGTCGGGGATGCATGAGAAATTATAATCTAACTTTGAATTATATGGAGGTGTTGACTTGAATAAGGGTCCATTGAGAGAAGACCCGACCAAGGGACTATCGGGACCATCAACGATTCAAGGTGTAATGTTAGATACAAGTCATCTCAAGTGAAGCATAGATGTTGATGAAATGCTTGTGAGAAAAAAATGGGGTTAGAAATGCAGAGTTGACAAATACTACTAAGATGAACTAAGTATCATTGTTGAAAGTCACCCACAAAGCTGTAATTATTTTGTATAAATGGCATATAATAATTTCTTCGTTTAATCCTTGTGGTTAAATATTTTCCAACAGATGATCAAATATAATGAAATCCCAAACAGTGCAGTCACCTCTCAGTCTCTTTCGCTCACATGCACTCTCATTTGGTTTTTGCTCTTCAATTTTCTGCCATGTAAAATTGTAAACCCAAGCAATGCTCTGTCTTTCATGTTTTTATTTACAAAGAAAAAAAAGGAGGAATAATTGCTTGAACGCAACACCGATTGAGTTTATTTCTTAGCATCTCCTCTCACTTGCAAGAAGGTATTTATTTTCTCTTTTGGGCTATCCGGAAGTAAGATTTTCCTCTTTCGTACTTTCCCATTTTCAGCTCGCATTGTGTGTTTTTTTGTTGAAATTTTTATGTTTCTGGAACTGCATGTCAAGGATCTGGATATTTTGTGTTAGTTTTGAACCAAAACATCTAATTTTCTTTTCTTCTTCTTAATCAAAACTTTTAGTACTCATTATGAAATATATTAAGTCCATCAGAATAGAAGTGAAAGAAGGTCCTAGGCTAAATTTTTTTGATCTTCTTGTTTGGTTTTTCTTTAAATCAGGGAATTGGTTGTGAGTATCGACATAGTGAAATGGCCAGGCTCAATTCGAGAGATTGTTGGTACTAGTTTACTGGGAATTGTATTGATCCGACCTGTGGGTTTCGGCATCCTGTGAGCTCGTATTCTTTTTAATAAGTTCATGTTGATTATGGGACTGATATATCGTGAACGAATTGGATTTTTTTACATGTTTTGGAAATTTTACAGTTGAATCTATATTGAATTATAGCTTTAGAAGATAATTCTTCATGCACGTAACTCGAAAGACATCATGAAAGAGTAGTATATTTAGAGCAGCTACTTGATATGTTGCCTGGTCATTGCACATTTGCACCTTCATTTCTGGAATATATATATTTATTGTAGTATCCTCTATGTTTTACAATGTCTTTTATTGCTGACATGCCATGAATTTACAAGAATTATGGGGTCCTATGATTTTAATTCCACTATCTGCTTTAGATTCTCATCATGTTTGACTATTGAGGAACATTAAACATGGAGCATTAGAAGCAATTATATGTTAAACGGGTAGACCATTAATGCATTTGCAATTAGTAATGTTGTATTTGACATCTCATGTCTATCTTAAACAACCCATTTGACGCCTTAGTTTTTGGAGTGACTGTGACTGAACCTCTTTCCCTTTATTTATTAAGTCCTCTTTTTGAATGAGTTATTAATTGATATTCTTGGTTTATTTTAGTTATTGTTTGGTTGTATGTTGTAGTCCTATGAACTAAAACTCTTTACTATTTTTGCAGTCATTGGATGTGCATGCTCAAATTCTATCCAAACCTATTAGATTGTCATACCAAAGTGCGACAGCTACGAACAAGACAAATTGGCCTTGTTACTTTTACTTCAACGGTTTATGCAATAAACGTGATATATGCACTTTTCATGTTCAAAGTGCAGCAACCGTTGGATGTGTATGCAACAAACCTCAAATTTATATTGAAGTAAACACTGTCAAATAGCAAATTCATGCTCAAAATTCCAAAACACTTCAATTGTATTCTAAACCCAAAATTTCAAAAATACTTGAATTACATTCTAAACCCTAAATTAAAATATTTTAGAATTTAGGGTTTAAAATATAATTGAATTATTTTGGAATTTAGAATGAAATTGAGGAATGTGCTGCAAGTTTTAAAAGTTGGGAGACCTAAATGCAAGTGCCTGAAAAGTTCAGTGATCATATTGCAAACGTACTAACGACAGTGTAACAGTTGGTGACCATATTGTAAACAGACTAAATGTTATAGGATTGTATTGCAAGTTTTAAAAGTTGAGAGACCTAAATAAAGTTTTAAAAAAGTTTAATGACCATTACTATACTTTACCCTAAAATTTATCAATGAGTGAGAATAAAATTGTTCTTTTTTTAATTTATGGAATCAGTACCAAAATAAAAAACCCTCCTTCCTTCTCCTAAGCTCTCTCTCGCACCCCGCCGTTAACCTCAGTCGTACCTTTTAGTCGCTCATGGCTCCCATCTCACTCAGTCTTCGTCAGCCGTTCACCCCGTTTCTTTTGTAAGCTCTCAGTGTTACTCACTGCGCAGGCAGCCAGCTCTCAGTTTCCCATCGTCGGCGTCGCAAGAAGACACCTCACAGCCTCCCAACCTCGGCGTCGCAAGAAGACACCTCACAGCCTCCCAACCTCGGCGTCTCATTCGGCAAGCAACAAATATCTTTTCATTGTATTCTAAAAATGGTTGGTCTTTTTTAAAGCAATCATCTGTTCATTGTATTCTAAAATGGCTACTTTTTTTAAAAAAAAATTGTGGCTGATATAGAATGGGATTGAGGAGATTTTGATATTTGTTTTGTCAAATTGTTAATAGCTGCCGTTTTTATTACTTTGGTTCTAATATGAGTTGATCTTGCTAATATGGGTTGAATTAGTTTCGTTGTTTTCTATTATTTTTTTTAATTGCTTTGCTTTGGGATAAATTTCAGCTTTTCTTTATTTTTTTTCCTTCTTCTTTCTGGTCATTAGTTATAAAGGGAAATGACCAATGGTGATCGTTTGAGATGCATTTTTTTTACTGATGCTCATGTATTCTGTAATGTGGTCTGGTTTGCGTTGCTTTTTAATGGGTAAGATATTATTGCTCTAGTGACCTTTTGATGCGCATGATTCAATGATCATTTCGATTGATTGACAGTTATAACATGGTAAAGAGAAAAACATCCTTTTTCTTACAGGACTCAGATTCATTTTCCCGCCAAGTTCTTCCTCTGCAGTGCAAAGCTTGGTAAGCAATGTCTTTGGAGACTGTGGTACTGCGAACATCAACCAAGGACCTTTGGATATGATGTGCACAATGAATCCAAAGGAACCCTAAATTTCTCAATCATGATTCACAAGTTTCTCGGTATCATTAACTGGATTCAACCGTCCAGAATCAAAACCTTAAACCCATGTATCTCCCCGTCTCGACTTTGTCATTTCAAGTCAGAAAAGGATTATGATTCTTCAAACCAACCTTCAAATTCTTCATCAAGAACCGCTCAAAACAATGTTGCAATATTCTGGGATTTGGATAACAAGCCCCCAAATTCATTCCCTCCGTTTGAAGCGGCCATTAAGCTGAAAAGGCTGCATCTACATTCGGGGTTGTTCAGTCCATGGTGGCATATGCTAATCATCATTCGCTTAGTCACGTACCTAAAGTTGTTCGGGAGCAGAGAAGAGAGAAAAAGTTGTTGAACCAGTTGGAAAAAAAAGGTGTGATCAAGTTGATTGAGCCACATATTTGTAAAGTCTGTGGGAGAAGATTCTACACTAACGAGAAGCTTGTTAATCATTTTAAACAAATTCATGAGCGTGAACACCAGAAGAGGGTGAATCAAATAGAATCCGCTAGAGGAGTAGAGGGTGAAATTGGTTGGTAAGTATTCAATGAAAATGGACAAGTATAAAAATGCGGCTAGGGATGTTTTGATTCCCAAAGTTGGGTATGGTTTAGCTGATGAGTTGAAAAGGTCAGGGTTTTGGGTTGTCACTGTTTCGAATAGGCCACAAGCAGCGGATATTGCATTGAGGGATCACATGGTGGATGTGATGGACAGGAGGAAAGCAGAGTGCTTGGTGCTAGTGTCCGATGATTCGGATTTCGGTGGTGTTTTGAAGGAGGCAAAACTGAGGTGTTTGAAGACTGTTGTTGTGGGGGATGCCGATGATGGGGCACTGAAAAGGGTTGCGGATGCCGGGTTTTCTTGGACCGAAATATTGATCGGAAAGGCGAAGAAGGAGTTAGTATCTGTTGTGGGGAAGTGGAAAGACCGTGATATCTTGAAGAGACTGGAGTGGACTTATAATCCAGAGATGGAGAGGAAGTTATACGGCTCTGAAGATACAACGTTTGATGATGAGAGTGAAGATCAGGATTTTGAAAGTACTGATTATATGCATAAGGAAGATTATTCTGCTGTATGGTGGGAGTTGGACACTGAATCTGATGCTGACCCTTCAAATTCTTAGCTTACAAAGCATGAAGTATCCTCTCCTACAAACTTTGATACTGAAATGTTTGCATGGTTCTGGAACCAAGTTCGATACTTGAGATGCAATTCAAATTGATTCTTTCTCTCATCTGGGTAAAGCATGTAACTCGGACAAACGTCTTAGATTGATTCTTTTAATCTTATTTTGCAATGTATATCATTCATGTAATTTTAGTAACACGTGAGATACTCGGTTGAATCTAGTAAACTATGCGATAAACATCTGGCAATTAACTATCTCACAAGAATCACTTTATTTTAATCAATGCAATAATTTAAACATAAACATCAGCAGAAGACTCTGAAGGACGTGGCGCCTGCAATTAGGGGTGAGCGTTTGATCGAGTCGTGTCGAGTAAATTTTTTTTGAGTTATTTGAGTTGACGAGTTCTATTTTACAACTCAGACTTGATTTGAAATTTTTTTTCGAGTTGAGTCGATTTTTCGAGTTTTTGTTTAAATTTAATTGTAAATATTTATAATATTATAATATTATTTGATTTCAATTTAAGTGATTTTATAAGCATATATACAATACAAATATATCATACAAATTCTAAGGACTCGACTCAAATTTGAAAATAAATCAACTAATTATTAAAAATTTTGAGTTATTCGAGTTGCATCTTACAATTTAATTTGAACTTGAAATTTTTTTTGAGTCGAATCGAGTTTATGAAATTGCAACTTGAAGTCAATTTGAATTGAGATTTTTTAAGTCGATTCGAGTCGAAAAATTCTATTTCTCGAATCGAGTTAAGTTTTGCTTACTCCTACCTACAATTACGGGCTTTGAGTCGCATAACCGACAGAAAGCAAAAAATGTAGATGCCATTTGTTTATGAACTTAATATTTACATCAATCCTGTGGAGAAGCAGTGTTTCTAAGATCACACGAATACAAACTTACCTTGGAAGTAGAAGCAGTGTTGTGTAGATGGCAAACTTCAATATCAAAGAGGGGTTTTTCTCACTGCTAAGATACACATAAGTTACCAACAATTAATTGGTTTAGTGAGATGAGACACTAGATCCCTTAAGCAAGGTCAGGGGTTCGAGTCTGACGATTGCAAATGGAGCAAATTAGGTTGGGAAGGTCGTCATTGTCTCTGTAGTATCCGATCCGGATTAATCAATCTATAGATCAAATATCAATGATTATACAAACAAAAAATACACATAGGATATCTAGAAAGTTTGGCGTGATTTCGATCACTATAGGTCGTGCAACCGTTGCGCGTGTGTAGGATAGATTTCTAGCAAATGAGTCAAACTAATTTAGGGGAATTTAATCGGTCTGACTTGAATCAAACCCGAACTAGACATGCATTGATTTGATCTGTTGACTTAACTCATTGATCGTTGACTTTTTTGATGATATCAATCTTGACGATTTTCGACGTCTTGAGTTTGTTTTTTGTAATTTGTTTCATCAAATTCTAACCTAAAAGTCTATGTTTGTCATTCTTACTATTCATTTAGACTTTTCTGTTGTTAGAAATTGTCTTAAATGTGATTGTTTATTTATGAAGGCGATTTGATCTCTCTCGAGAGCTCGCCAGTAAATCTAAATTCGACTTTTTTTGTTTAGTTAGATTTTGTCCGTTCGACTAGAGTTACAAGTAGGATGATCTAACCATGAAACTGTAAATTCTTATAGTTTGAATATAAGTTGTCTGGTTGTTAATGTAGAATTTCGAATTTATAGGTCTAATGTTGTAGGAGTTAGTACTACCGAATGTGAAAAGTTTATTTAGCTTTAGTGCTATAGTTGGCTAGAGGTGTGATACTTAGTGCTACATGTGTTATGTTTGAATGTGCTATGTATATGACATGTTTGAGTATCGGTGATGTCACATGGTGTCGTAATTACCACATTTACTTATGTAATCGCTTGAGCATGCGAATGTAATGACTTGTGTGATATGAACATTTATGTTCTATATTCGCCAATGCATGCTTATATCGAATACCAAATTTATGTATGTAATAGTGAACGGAGTATGATAAAGCGATAATGTTACGAACGTTCTTCTTAATATGAACATATAGGTTCATACTACTTGTATGTTGCATCCAGGTGGGATTGTGATACAGAAGTGACCGACTAATTGACTGGTTCATCCATTATGATAAATTCAATTATCGACTGGTGCATCCCACTGAGATGATAAACCCAATAACTATGTGGTGATGTGGTAGAGTTAATTGGGTTGTATTTCATTGCATTCATATTGTGTTTGGCGTTGAATGTTTATGTCATGTTTACCTTGTGGATCGATTTGATTCTAAAGAAGATCTAATCAATGCAGTCATTACATCTTGCTTCGTTCATGGGTAATTGGTTTAGGCACATATATGCACCGAAACACTTGCTATGAAGTTGCCTGAACCTGATACAACATGATATCTTTGCCGGTATCATGCTCAATCGTCTATGCATTGATGGGGGTTTGACATTGTTTATGCCCCTAGCATCTGCATCTAAAACGGTAGTTTTAATGGAAGCATTTCAGGATAACTCTCAACACCAGCAAGTAGGATTCTCAAATTTTATCTGGGGTGTTGTCAAAATCCATTTATCCTTTTCCATCCCAATCTCTACGTTTCCTCGTAATTTATGGACATCTTTATGACACCAGTAAAGTTGCATTTCTGACATTATCGATTGCTTTAACACCAGTATAAATATATCATTGATTGCATTTCTGGCTTTCATGGATGAACCAGATAGTAATATTGAAAAAGAACATTAATAAGTGGACGAAACCAATAGTCATTTACCAAATAAATGCACAATCGTAACTCATCCTTATCATAAAAGAAGTTTGAACTGGGACAGGCTAAGTGGCAGACAGAGTCCCAATTTTGTATCCTTCTTTTGCAGCAAGTCAAAAAGTACAAGTAGACACGCATGAAGGCTCCCACAGGCCACAGTCAATAGCATATCTCATAGCTTGCTTTGTCAAGGTTGCAGTGTTAAGACTGTTGGTTTTCCTTCTGTCTTTCCAAGAAACAAATGATAAAAGCAGAGAACATTTATTGTTTGGTGCATGCAAATTTCCATTGAACATTGGCCGAGGAAAGAAAGGAGATAAAGGGGAAACACCCACCGTATTCATCAGCGTCAGGTAGTACAAATGATTTAAATAATAATTTCTGCATTTCTCTTTTTAGTATTACGAACAAATCTATCCTTTTATCTTCCCAGTTTCTTAGCCATTTCCAGCTCTATGGGGATTCTGAGAGACCTAATTGCAGAGGCAATTTGGCATTCTGTCCACCTCCACCAGTACAACTTTGAAACGATTGGCCCGTGGAAGTGGAGGCGGCCAGTATGTCAAACAGGCTCTGTAAATATGTCACTGAGAAACCTTAAGAGATATTAGCAAATCAAATACTCATTCACTAAACATGTGATGTTTTTTTACGCCTCTGATTCTTTTACATTCCTCATCCGTTGCTGCATCAGGTATGTTGCATCCTCTTCAATTTGTTGTTGAAACCAGTTTGCAGGCGCTGCATATAACTTCGTTTTGGCCACATGTTCAGGTGGACAGCTAACGCTGACCAATATTATTCATTGGGTAAGATTGAAGGTTGGAGTTCTCTCATCCATGAAATATTCAGTTTCTTTAACATCTTTTGCATGAGTTCTAAAAATAAAGAAGCCATTATTCGCTGTAAACAGAAAAAGAATGGCAGGGAGGGAGTAGGTTTTAACATGTTTAATGCACATTTAATCAACAGTAAGGTAACCCCATAGCTTCACTTTGTCCTTTTTACCATTTATATTATTTGGATCCGAGTAAGGTCTTCTTTCTACCCAGGATGTTTTCGGGGGAGTTTGGTCCACCCTACAGAGGATAAGAAGTTGGCTCTTGAAATGCAAAAACTCAAGTCCATAAAAATTACCAGAACCATGCGATTATCATCGTTTCACTTATTCACACTAATCCAATAAATAAAAACTTGATCACTAATACCACCTTTAGTGTAAGTAATAACTACTGCTCAACTATATATTAAACATGCAATGCTCAAGACATTACATACACAGTTCAACCATAGTTAATTTATCGGCTCTCTCCATCTAAGAAGAAATGGCTACCTATCAATCTTGTTGGTCTTAACTTCCAAAAGAGCTCCTCTCTTGCATTGCTAAACGCATCAATAATCGAGTGAATGTTCTTCATTTACAAGTCGTATGTAGCTACCAGAAAGATGTAGTTGAGGTGATACCTATATCTCCTACACTACGAGTGCAAACATATTTTCTTTTATTCGTTTTATGAAGTTTCTTTCTTCATTTTTCAAATGACAAATGATTGCTTATCGCAATGGTCAACTATGTTGTGATAACTCATTCCAACCATAAAAAATGGTTCATCAAGGTTGAAGAAATGAAACAAGTTAACAAGTTTCGTGTTTTAAATATAATTCTGCAGAACAACGGATCAAGAACCTACATCTTTTGTCCCCTAAAGAGCTAATCCATCTTAACCTACCTTCTTAGTTGTCTCATCGACCTTAAAATTAAGATTGTTTAGCTCTTTAAGGAAGGAAAGATGCATCTTCTGGATCTGGTTCTCTGCAAACTTAGGTTTAAAAATACGAAAATTGTTGTCTTGCTTGGTTTCTTCAACTTTGATGAACATTTTTTTTTGGTTGGATTAAACTTCACAACCCTGTAGACCATTGCAATAAACAATCATTATGATATGGAGAATGAAAAAAGAGATTTCATAAAAGAATAAAAAGGAAGATAACTTACACTCATAATGTAGGAGATACAAATATCACATCAACTGAATTTTTAGGATCTGTATACGGTCTGAAAAATGAACAACATTAGCTCGATTATTGATACATTTTGCAGTGCAAAAGAAGAGTGTTTTTTTTGGAAGTTCATACCAACAAGATTGATAGGCAACCATTATTTCTTAGATGGAGAGAGCCGAGAAAATAGCAATGGATGAACTATGTATGTAACACTTTTCAGCTTTGCATGTTTGATATATAATTGAATGATAGTATGAACCTTGACATAAGCACCAAATTCACTTTTATAATTAGGGGAACACCCTGAGCAACCGCTCAGCCCCCAATTTTTTGTATTTATAATTGATGCTTTTAATTTTTAAAATTTATAATTAGGGCACCTAATTTTTATAATTTCATGAAATTTTTAGTTTTGACTCTCTTTTCCATTTCTTTTATTAATTCATTCAATTTTGAATTAAAATTAATCATTTTTTTCTTTTTTTTTCAAATATTACTATTCAGTTTATCAATTTTTTTTTTTAATTTTTAGTCTTCCTCAATCTCAATCTAACAATAAAATAATATACAATTCTTATTTATTTATTTATTATTCAAAATCAAGCTATGTATCATATATGCATTTATTTTTATATATTTATTTCCTTTTAGTTGTATTTAAGTTGTTTTCTTAATAAAAATAATATGTTTTCACAAAATTTAATTATTTTTCCTAGATTTATTTATGTAATATTGAATTAATTGTTGAAATTAATTGAATATACTTTCATTTTATAAAGATATATTTTTGAGTTTTCATTCCGGGCCCCGAAAATGTCTAAGACAGCTCTGCGACTAATTTTGGTTAAGCTTCTTCAGTTACTAGAGTCGATAAAAGCAAGAAATAATTATAACAATTCATTTTGAGTGTGGCTAACCTAAACGACTAGTTTTGAATATTATTGAAACGTACACATGAAAAGAAACGTTAGTGGCTGAGTAATTGAGATAATAACAAAAATCAAAACGTCTAATTTTTGTTATGTCACATGAATTTCTTTAATTATTAAAATTTAAAAGTATGCCTCTAATAACAAATGTTGAAAAATTGAGTCCATAATAATAAGTGTTGAAAAAATTGGACCTTTAGTAACAAATGTTAAAAAAATTAGGTAAAAATTGGACATTTATACAAATATTAAAAAATAAATTATAAGAGATAAGTATTAGAGAAAAAATTGAGACCATAATAATAAATATAGGTGGAAATTGAACCTTAATAATAAATATTAAAAATAAGGGTTAACTACTTCAAATACTACCAACCTTTAAGTGTTGACTCATTTATACCACCAACGTTTTAATTTTACCAATTTTAGCTCTAACGATTACTTTTAAGTGCAATTATATCACTCCGCCATTAATGATTTAATGGCACGATGACTTGGCAATGGCATGCTGTGACATCGCTGATGTGGATATCTCATCTAAATGACTACGTTTTGATGTTTCCGTTTTAATGCTCAAAAGACCCAAAATGATGTTTTGCTTAAACCCTAATTTTCCTGGGGACTATGCTCAAACTTTTCCATTATTGTTTTCTCTTCTTCCTCATCGTCTTCATCTGCATCTCCTTTTCCATGGTTTTCTTGGCAACCAAATGATCACCATCTGACAGGGACGCCTTTGTTCATCGCTAAATCCGAGAACTTCTCTTCAACCGAGGGTCGTTGTAAAATTGGCCATCGACTCCATCAATCGAAAGATGAAGTTTGTGTTTTCTGTTTGTAGCAACGAACACTTGCGCGATGCTATTGAAAACACTTCCTTCGGGCTTTATATATATACAAAAAGTCTCGCTTCGATGAAGAACAAAACAATGGCGATGACCGAGCAAAGCGTTGGGATCTCAATCCCTAATGCTCAACTAATATCATTTTGGATATAAACCATAGTAGTTTGAGCGATCATTAAGACGACCGTTCGAGTGTTTTGAGCGATCATCAAGACGATCATTTTGTAGAAACTATTGTTTTCTATTTGCCCTTTTTCGATCGTCAAACCGAATTGATCAACGGTGAAGGGAACATAGCAAGGTTTGGTTCCGTCTTTTTTTGATGGATACCAAAATATCTCGATAACCAAAACGCTGAGTTGGGCGTTGTTGTAGGGTATGCATTGGCCGAGTTGTAGTTCCTTGTTAGCTTACAGCGAAGGGTGCAGCAGTGGAAGTAAAGCCGTCAACATCGTGATTATCATTCCCTACCGATTAGTGATTGAAATCACATGTTATTGATTATGTTCAAATAGTATATTTGAATTTTAGTTAAACATGCATGACATTACAAGTATATAGATATATACCATGATAATTGACAAGGATCTGAGAACAATGGTCCAAAACTTGCCGATGAATGCACCAGAAACATATGCAACGATTTTACGGCGAACAAAAGCATCGCTGTCGTTCAAATGAAGGAAAAGTTCTCGGATTTAGCGATGAACGTCATAGTGAATATGGTGACCGAAAAATGATATTGTGATCCTGACGAGAGAAACGACGAGGAATCCAAAAGATGCCAGATGGTGACCATCTGGTTGCCAAGAAAACCATGGAAAATGAGATGCAGATGAAGATGAGGAGGAAGAAGAGAAAAATAATAGGAAAATTTGAGTTTAGTCCTTAGGAAAATTAGGGTTCAAGTAAAACGACGTCATTTTGGGTCTTTTGAGCACTAAAACAGAAGCATCAAAACGATGTCGTTTAGATGAGGTATCCATGTCAGCGACGTCACGTCATGTCGTTGTCATGTCATTGTGTCGTTAAATCATTAACAACAGAGTGGTATAATTGCATTTAAAAGTAAACCTTAGTGCTAAAATTGGCAAAATTGAAACGTTGGTGGTATAAACGAGTCAGTGCTTAAAGGTTTGTGGTATTTGAAGTAGTTAACCCTAAAAATAATTAGGCCCAATAATTGATATAAAATCTTTTTTTACAAGTATAATATATTATAAAAATTTTGGACCCGGATAGATGTCCCTCCTGCCCAGGCCAAGATGCGGCCTTAGGAATAGTTATGGATATAAGTCAAGTAGAAGCACAAAGGGAAACATTAACGACGAGTAATCGAGACAATAAAAAGAAAGAAAGAATTGAAACAATTAATTTTAGATATATCATGTTACTTCAGTTATTTCAATTCTATTGCTAGTGTTACAGTGATTTCAAGCACACTTGAAACTCCTCTGTACACTGCTCTATTTCCTTTGTTCACCTAAAAGAAAAGACGCATATTACACTGTCTTCTAAACATCCATGCCTCTCTCTCTTGCCTTCTTCCTGTGATTTTAGCATACCTTCTTTATATATGTTACTTCTATGTATCGTATCTTTGTTGTTCCCGTTCCGTTGCTACAAAAGCAAGTAACAGAGGGGATGGAGATCGTTCCGTCGATTGTTATGTTACTTGCAGGAGACGTAAAAAGGAAAAGTAATGGAAGAAGCCTAAAAGGGCTTTGTTTATGTATAGATCAGCAGACTGTAACCTAACTAACTCTTCTATCATGTTTGTTGCTGAGGCCTAAATGACAGCGGATGTGCCGCTATGTATTGTGGAAGAAAGGAATATCCGGCTGGTTGAATCCGTCACTGTATATGCATGAACATTCAAAACAATCATTAAAACCCAGACAGATGGCCATAAGATGAAGAATGTGTAGTTTTAGGTTTAAAATTTTGATACCTCTCCTGGTCGTTGTTGTCAGTCTCTACATGTATTGTTTTTTCGTCGGATGCAGTGCCGGTGTTGATAGCTTCCAACAGAAAACTGAGATGATCTGCTCGGTGGAAAAGAAAGCATTTCACGGTATAGAATTAAAAACGACGTCGAATTAACAGGCATGATAACGGAGAAAATGTTCGATACCTTCCGAGAGTTTTAACTCGTCCATGGAGTGGGTGAAGAAGGACTGATTGGCCTGAGGTGTGTGTGCCAAATACATCTCTGAAGGATGCAACCTCCTTGGAGGCTGAAAGAACTTCTCTGGGTCTTCTACAAACTGCTTCTTGTACAATCTAGACGTTGCATATCCTCTTGGAACTGAGAAATCACAGTATCAGATGAGTCGATTTTCCGGATCAGAATAAATAAAGCTATAAAAGAAGGCAATTACTCGAGTGAAGCTGAGATTCCATGTCAATATAATGTGGAGAATAGAACATTGGAGACTCGATTCTTTCCTGGTACTTCCTGCATGAAAATCAATTCTTCTGGGTAAATCGCTATGATTCGTAGTTTCCGAATGTGGAAATGAAGAAGAGAGACAGTTATTGTTACCTGAAAACCAGCTTTGGTTTTTCCCTGTAAGGTTTCACGAGAACACGAGCCCCGCAGACATAATGTGGATCTCCTTTTGCTAAAATTATCTTCACGGCATCGGCACTGACGAAGGTTACGAAACCGAACATCCGTTTCTGCTGGCAGGGGATTCGAACATCTTCAACTTGTCCATAATTGCTGCAGTTAGAAGCATGGAAAGGTAAGAAAACTACAAGCGACCAAATATGGCTGCAAAAAAGACTTGGTTATCATGTTACCTGAAATAGTTGGAGACATCATCTTCACTAAATGTGCTCTCAGCTGGGAATGTGAGATATATCTGACGTGATCCGCTTACGATCGGACCTGGATCGTTTCGATTTTCCGTGTACTTGGGTGCATCTTCGGCCAAAATGATGAAATGCTGTCCATGAGGCCTGCAACTCGATCACAAAAGAACAAAGCAAATGAATCCTCAAAGTATAATATTTTATTTCGCTGCGAATTTAGAACATTATTCATCCATACTTTTCAATTACTCGAATCACATTCTTCAACCGGGCAAGAAGCTTTGTCAAACTATAACCTGATTTGCCATGTCTCTGGCTATCGGTGAGATAACCATCTGCCTGCAGAACTTTTCCATATTTCTCGTAATACAGCAAAGGAAGTGACGTGATCGAGACCAGATCCCCTCTCTTTGTTTTCAGAAGCTCGACTAACTCGACCTCTAAGTTCTCGAGCGACATATCATGATCACCACTAACAGCATCCGTAGAGTTATGGATGAACTTTTGAGGGAAGCTATCCGAAATTTGACCATGAAAGTACCTACAGTTACTTCCATGCTTACAGTATCCTTTATTGAAATAATGACAAGTCTTAACAGGGAAGTTGTGCAGATTTTGACATCGATGTCCTACTTTAACATCACGATTAGCAATCGAAAATCCACCATTTTCCACAAATTCCACTGGATCTTCCAAACTCAGTAACTGAGTTTGAGCCTGCAAATCAGACATCGAATCCAAGTACCCCGGTGTCGTAAAATCCAGGCTCTGCTTAGCAACAAGCTGCGGTTTCCAGTATGGAGATGTCATCTGGACACTTCTAGGAGACCATAGAAGCTTGGAGGAAACTGATGGAGAAACAGGTACCGGGTTCATCGAAGGTGATATCAGCGGCGACATGGATTTGAGGTGTTGCAATTGGAGTTTCGATTTATAAATGACTTCCTCAAGGACTATATCAGGCCAAGTAGCCAATTGAAAAATCTCTTGATCATCATATTCTTGCAAAAAAAGATAGCCTATGATCTTGGTAACATTTTCGGGATCCATTTTGTTGATTCTATTGAATAACATCCGTGTATGGTCCGAAAATTCCATCTGTTTAATCACTGAAAATTAAGGAAAAACATTTATCATTTAGAAAAGACATAAGAAAAAAGTACATCCAAATCTCAGCCATGGTATCTAACTAAATTCTTAGGTTAAAAGCAGAGAATCTAAGTCTCATTAGAAAAAAAAATGCAGATCCACTTAAATAGCTGGAAAAACACAAAAAGAACCTACAACTTGAAGGGAAAAAACCAGAAATCTTCTGGAAAACAAAATTCAAAGAAGAGAATGGAACAAACAAAGAATCATCGAACTTACCAACCAAAAGTATATTCTTTTTGAGATGAGTTTTAAATTGTAAAGCTTCTCACTGGTAGCTGAAAATAAAACATGGTAAGGCTCAGTTTGTCTCCTGGGAAAACTTGGCTTGGCTTCTTGTAATGTCCATGAACTTCATTCCTAACTAACCCAACTTCACAACTTTATATAAAGGGGAAAAGGCTCCTTTTAATGTTCCCCCCCCCCCTTTTTGTTGAAATTAATTATGATTTTTAGTAAAAAGAAACTTTAAAAAGAATGTTAAATCTTTTACAGATAGATTTCATAAACAAGTTGCAGAGAGTTAAGGCAACATAATTTGCTTGATTTTCGAGTTTTATTCCAACAGTTTTGACTATTTAAATGCTACATAATCATGTAAAATAAAAGTTCAAAAACTCAAAATTCCTGAGGATAACTAAAATGTTATTTTATTTTTGAAAATTTAGATTTTCCGATAGACATGTAGGCAAAATGGAAATCTTGAGTGGCTCAAACGTGGATTTTCTTTTGTCTTTTAAGGGATAATTCTCCTTAAACAGTTACCGTCCGATCGTCAATGATTAGTGTACATCAACGGTTTGGTAGTTGAGGACCATGGAGAGCACGTACACTTTACTATAATTTGGATATTAATGCATTTATTATAGTAAAAGAATAAGTCTAGCTAGTCTCTATAATACTGGACCAACCCCCCAAAAAATATATTTTAAAATATTCCATTATCTCACGAAGACAAAATGAATACTTTCCAAGATTTTTAGGTACGACTTTGAATCTCTATTATGAAATGTGCCAATTTAGTTGCTGCAATTGATATGGGCAAGTAAAGTCCAAATCATTGAGTTACATCATCACCTTAATCGCTTAAAATAACTCTATACTAAAATTCGAAAAATTACACATCCCATCTCTTATTTGATAAACTTCGTTCCGAACCCAAGACCGGAATGTGAATACTCTCAAATTTGATGATGCTATTTATATATATAGCATCAAAGTATAGCGCAAGGGATTGGATTGGGATCAGTGACCACTGTAAAAAACTCCGGCTGAGGCTGTGGAGGCATGCAACGCATAATTGGACTACTAATGAGCTCAAGGTAGACTAACAGCAAGAAACAATCTGTTAGGCACGTATGGTGGAAACATAGCACTTCTCTTTTTACTTGTAGTTTGAACTGGTAAACAAATACATTTTTATATTCGGATTTTGACATTTGATTATATATTTTTCCAGGTAGTTAGTAAGGAATACAAACATATTGACAGCACTATCAGTGAGTCATTTTATAATGTTATCAAACCTAGGCTTTTGAGTCTTTGCAATTAGGTAGTAGGACTATCAACAGTTGAATTGCTTTGCTGTTGTTGCAGGGGAGCCCAAAGATACGAACATAGATTGGAATCAAATGCGGGAGATTTTCTGGCCTTTTATCCAATAGCCAATGTGGGAAAGCTCTTGACCCAACAACCTTTTAGCCTATAGATGGTTGTCCCTTGTTCCCATATGTAATGGGGTAAGGGGGAGGTAAGATAGTAGGCTGCCCCCAACACTAGGTTAAGAGCAGTTTCCGTAGGAAACCTCCAAATTATGAAATGCCCTCCATGGGACACGATCCCACGGCCTCAAGATTAAGAACCTTTTAGCTCTATAATTCTAGCTAAAACGTCACACTCCAATTCCTAAAACAAATTGAGTTCTTTACATAAGAGATGAGTATTCGGTCGAGTTGATTTGAGTAAAAAAAAATTAGTCAAGTTAATATGTCGTATTTTATGACTCAAAGTTAATATGTCGTATTTTATGACTCAAATTTTCTTTAAAAATTTTCGAGTTGAGTTTATGAAATTCAAGTGGGGTCGAGTTATTTGAGTTTTCATACAAATTCAATTATAATTATTTATAATATTATAGTACGATTTGGTTCCAATTTATCGGTTTTCTCTAACCGTATAAGATATACAATATATATTTCTTCGCATTCTTTTTCATATTGTAATGTTATTTAATAAATCAAATACAATCTAAAATTATAAAATATATTTATAATATTATTTTTCAAAGAAGCTATTTCAAGGATAAAGTGTAGATATGAGTATAAAAGAGTCAAGAAATTGATAAGAATAAAGAATTTGTGAAAAGACCATATTGAAAAAAATGTAAAGTTAAGGGACTGGCTTGAAAGAAAATAGAATTGTAATTAAAAAAAGAATTAAAGTTACATAGGTATTATATAGTGGCAGAGGAGCATGTTGTTCAAATTTGGTCGAAAATAGATTTAAAATGAGGAATGAATTGAAAAAAAAATGAGGAAATCATGTAAAGTTGAGGGACTAAATTAAAAAAAAGGAATTGAAGATACATAGGTATTCTACATTGGTTTAGGAATATATAGTTGATGAAAAAATAGACTTAAAATGAAAGAGGAATGGAGGAATAAGAAAATCAGGAATATTCAAATTGCAAAACTATTAAAATACTCAACTAAATTTTTGGTTGACTCGAAATTTTTAGATTTCAATCTGATTCAAACTTAAAAACTGACACGATAATTCAAGTTAACTCAAATAACTCAAAATAATATTAATAATTTTTTAAGTTTAGTCGAATTTTATTCACACCTACCTTCAACCTGGTCATGAACCCTTTCCATCACATCATCTATGGTCCTTATTAATTAAAATTTATCCACTTCATCAATTTTTTTTCCATATGATTTATATAATAATATTTTATTTTTAAAATAATTTTTTCTTAAATATTAGAGTTAAAAATAATTAGGGTTTAGTTTTATTCTCCAATGTAAAACCATAAATCAAAAATCTAAAAAGTTAACCTAAACTCTAACCCTAAACCTCAAATCCTAAACAATTATACTATTACGATAATCGACGGGAGGAAACTCATAAGCGATGACAATACTTGTGGATGAAGGAAATAACCGCTGCAATTCTTTGAATTCGAGGCAAATGGATACACATTCAGCTGTTGCAATTCATAGAATTTTAGGCAGAGGGATATCGCAAATTGGTGTTGCAATTCGGTGGATTTTGGATAATTGAGTATTACGTTTGGGAATAAAAGACGATTTGGAAAATAAAATATTATTATATAAATGATATGAACAAAGTTGATGATTTGAATAAATTTTAATTAATAGGGATCATGGATCATGGGTGATTATCGAGCGAGTCGATAGCGAGTTGGATAGTATTCGTCTCGTGCTCGTTAAAAAAACTTGTTGCTCGACTCGTCTCGTTGCTCCTTAAGCTTGTTAAAATTTTGCTCGACTTGTGCTCGTTATTCGTTAAGCTCGATACTTGTTGCTCACCTTGTTACTCATTAAACTTGCCTCGTTACTCGTTAAGTTCACTGAAAATTTTTACCTTATTTTCTTAACTATAGGTAAAATCTACTAATACTATATATAGATTAATATAAACATAAATTAATAAATTTAACAAAAAAAATCAAAAGAGTGTACGAAACAATTTCAAACTTTAAACTCCAAAATAACAATAAACAAATACATTAAAATAATAAATAGAGTTTGATTTTTGGGTATAGTAAAATATTAATTAATAATTTAATATTTTTTTGGATAAATCAAATAATTTTATTATTCAAAGAGCAGATAATTGCTACAAAACAATAAATTCTTACAAAAGGATTAAAAACTTACAAGTAATAATGATAGTAAAATAGAACATCAATAATCTATACCCCATTGATTACAAAGAGTGATATTAATACTATCATTGCTATTAATATTTCTACCCCGTAATTTGACAGCAACAGTCTCTTTAATAGTATGAAACATATCTTCAGTAGATCTTGAGCAACCTTTAAATAATCGTTTGTTCCTCTCCTCCCATATAGTGTAAGTAAAAGTAGTCCAAGCTAGCTTCATGATAGTAGTGAGTAAAGAATTACCTTTCCAAGTTGCACAAGCCCAAGATAAATGATTATCCCACGAACATGTTCTTCTTCGAAATCCATTGAGGTTCAAAACAACATCCCATAAAGAAGTAGACAAAGCACAGTGAAGAAATAAATGATCTCTAGTTTCCTGAGAGTTATTGCAAAGCACACATTTATTATCGATCTCAAACCCCATTCGAATCAAACTGTCTTTAGTTGGAAGTCTATTTAAAAATGCCATCCAAGTAATAATACTAAACTTAGGGATATGAAGTGGAAACCATATTAACTTATGCCAAGTGACTTTATCATTACTATTACGAATTTGAAGCCAAATGTCCTTTATCGTGTTAGCTCCCGAAGAAAGAACAGTGGAAGGTTGAGGTCTCATACTTAGTAAGCATCGAAAGTTCCAGCTAGTGCTCGTTCCAGTGTCCATGTTCCAAAAATCAGAATTTTTAATAATATAGTTATTAATCCAGGCAATCCATAAAGAACCATCACTCGTAAGTACTTTCCTGATCAAGTGCATCATACAAGCGTTGTTCCAAGCTTTAATATCTTTAAGACCTAAGCCCTCTTCTGATTTTAAAAGACAAAGCTTACCCCAACTCACTCTTGCACCAGTTGCAGCCTTGTCCGAACCTTTCCAAAAAAACCGAGTACATAATTGTTCAATTCTATTAAGGACAGATTGAGGAAGGATTAATTGCCTGCACCAGAAATTTGTGATGCTAAGTAGAACTGTTTTAATTAGCTCTAGTCTACCAGCATAGCTTAAGTGTTTTCTCGACCATTTATGAAGACGGTCCCTGATATTATCTATGAGTGCCACACAATCTTTATCTGATAGTTTCCTAGAAACCAGAGGAACACCTAGGTATCTAACTGGTAGACATCCTTGGTTGAATCCCGTAATTCTTTTGATTTCATCAATTTTCGTAGGGGAGATTCCAGCAGCAAAGAATTCGCATTTACGTGCATTGATCTTAAGGCCAGAAATTTCATAAAAGTAATCCAATACACTAATAACCCCAACGACAGATTCCACATTTGCTTTACAAAAGATAAGCAGGTCATCGGTAAAAGTTAGGTGAGTTAAACCAATTTTTTTGCATCTGAAAGCCAAACATACCTCTAAGAGCAGCTTTATTGAGAATTTTGGAAAGCACATTCATTGAAAGGATGAACAACAGGGGTGAAATAGGATCACCTTGTCTTAAGCCTTTGGCCCCTTTGAAATAACCAATTAGACTTCCATTAAAAGAGATGGAATAACGAGCTCCTGTGAAACAAGCTTCCACCCATTTAATGAAAATTTTAGGAAGACCAATAGCATTCAGAACAGCATAGATAAAATCCCAATGCAGAGAACCAAAAGCCTTGTGGATGTCAATTTTCAATGAGCACTTAGGAGAGATAGTCTTCCTACCATAACCTCTGACTAGCTCCTGTGCAAGAAGAGTGTTATCAACAATGTTCCTTCCTTTGACAAAAGCAGTTTGATTTAGGGAAACAATATCAGGGAGTAAATTTGTTAGTCTTTTGACCAGAATTTTTGTAACAGCTTTATAGACAACTGAACAACAGGAAATAGACCTGAAATCCTTAACCTTGCATGGGTTTGGGACTTTAGGTACCAGAGTGATTGAAGTTGCATTGAAAGCAGGCAGCATAATAGATTCCTTAAAAAAATGAGTAATAGCAGCAACCACATCGTTTTCGATAATAGGCCAGGTTATCTTGAAGAAATAAGGAGTGTAACCATCAGGACCAGGAGCTTTTTCATTACCTTGACAGAAAACAGCTTCTTTAATCTCCTCTCTTGTTACTTCTTTAATAAGTGCATTCGAAGTGTCTGAAGGCAGAGAGTATTGAAGCAAATTATGAAGTATATTCTGGTCGCAGGTTTTAACTTCTGTATTTTCTGTTCCAATCAAGTTAGTGAAATACCCAATCAGTTCAGCAGTCATTTCATCATAGGATTCTAATCTGTTCCCATTGTCATCAACAAGAACTCTGATAGTTTCCCTCTTAGTTTTAACGGCAACTGCAGAATGAAAAAACTTTGTGCATGTGTCTCCGTTTTTAAGCCATTGAATCTTAGACTTTTGTCTTAAGAACATATTTTCAGCCTCTTCTAAATTTTTCATCTCATTTTTGAATAAGAAGCTCTTTATGAAAGGATCTTCAACTTAGAGATAGAATTGTTGATTTTCCAGCTCCAATTTCTTTTGATTAACACGAGCTGAGATGTCACTATAAAAAAGATGATTGAAGGATCTCAAGTTGGCTTTGAGGTGCTTTAATTTAGAAAACAGGTTCTGCATAGGGCTGCCATTAGAAGATGATTTCCAAGACTGTTTAACCACACTCAGGAAGTTTGGATGTTTAGCCCAAAAGTTAAAAAATTTAAAAGGTTTAGGATGGTCAACATGAGTCTCTTTAGCAAGCCAAGCCATAGCCAAACAATGATCTGAAATACCCGGTGCTTGAAATTCCACATGAGATTTTGGAAAAGTAGTAAACCACGAAGGATTAACTAGAACCCTATCAAGATTTCTCGCGAGGTAAGACTCTTGTTGTTTGTTACTCCAAGTGAAGGTGGGGCCAAAGAAAGGGTGATCGGAAAGTTCTAGGTCGAAGAGGGCATCTTGAAACTCTTTCATGTCTGAAGTGGAAAAGGTAATAGGGTAGAGTTAGAACTTTCGTTGGAGTTAAGGATGACATTAAAGTCTCCTCCTAGGATCCAAGGAAGGTTACCATACAGTCTGCCCAAGTCAGAAAGATGCTGCCAAAGTTGTCTTCTTATAATCCCATCATTACTGCCATAGACAGCAGTAATGATCAGGGGAGCCCTAAGATAATAACCTTTGAGAGAGATACATTGACCAGAAACATGGATAACAGAGAAATCAAGACCTTTTTTCCAAAGTACCCCAACCTACCATTCTCAGCAAAGTCATAGTTAGTACAAGAATTCTAGTGTTCAAATTTGCTGTTAAGAATTGCAGTCGAATTACTGGATTTAACTCTAGTTTCCAAAATGCAGAAAACATCAATATTATTTAGATTAGCTCTCTTCAACACACCTACTTGCTTAAGAGGACTATTAAGTCCTCTAATGTTCCAAAAACCTACAATCATTGAGAGGAAGAGGAAGTGGCAGTCACAGTACTACTCACTTCAACATTTTTAACTTTGTCCATTCTATCCTTTTTCTTTGATTTCAGTTCGTTTACAAGGGCAGCAACTCCAGAAGATGCAGCTCGTTTTTTAAGCTGAGCTTCCGTAGGAGAAGAAGATGGATCATCTGCTGCAGTTAAGATTTCAAATCTGTTCCTTGAACCAGTCAGGACAGATTTAGCATTTTCTTTATGAGGTCTACCTCTACCCTTTTTAATAACAGTAGGTTCAGGGTTAACGGTACTTTCATTTAGAATAGGTTCATCTGTAACATAAATTTTAGTAACATCATTTCCAGTAGTACCTACATGAACAGATTGAACATTACTGTTTCCATGTTCATTACTAATATCCGTATCCGTAGGGTTAAGCTCCTTAGTTTCATTATCTTTAGAAAGCATACACTCTTGTAGGAGCTCGATTCCTCCTTCTAAAGGAGTTACTACAGTAGGATTCTGTGTTACTTCTTTCTTTTTCCATACTTGGGTTGGGGCAGTGTATTTTTGTTCTTTACAGTGTTTATCGCTATGCCCAAACACACTACAGTTTTGACATCTTGGTGGTAACCACGGAATTTCAACATAAATAGAAGTGACAAATCCATCATTTAAAACTACATTCACAAGCTCTGTTATTTTATCATTCAAACCAACTTCCATGCATACTTTAGCATATTCTAACCTTGTTCTAGATGCTGTGACAGTGTCCATTGAGAGAGGTACTCCAATGGCACTTGCAATATGACTAAGTCCAGCTCTTGAATAGAGTTCTAAGGGCACATTAAATAGATGAATCCAAACAGGTATTTTAGTAAGATCAAAATCAAGTTTTTTCAGGTTTGGCTCCCATTTCCTTAAGATCAGAGGTTTGTTAAAGACATGCCACGGTCCATTCTCTAATACCCAGTTCATGGCAGTTTCTGAATTGAAAGAGAAAACGTAAACGTTGTTACCTGCCAAACTAATCTGGGCGTTGTTACCTTGAAGAGCTTTCTTCCACATAGTTTGTATTGTTCTCTGCAGAGTGGGATAGTTCGGAGGAGGCCCAAGGAACTGCCCCACTAAAGAAAGCTTCCAATCAGCAATCCCTTCTTCGAAAACCTCTGGCGGTGGTTGGACCAACGGAGGACCAGTACGCGATTTTGGGGGAAAGAAATCCAAGCTGTGCCCTTTCGAACTTACGAACAGTTTTCTCCAATCCATGATACAGTCGATCTGAACAGGAAAACGTTGATGAGAGAGTGAAAGAGGATGAGCAAACCAGACGAACCCACACCGGAGCGACGACGGAGATCCCAGAAACGTCAGGCCTGCTAACGTGCACCCAGTGAAAACCGGCTATCGTGCGCTGTGACCGGTCCATTTCTTTTTATTGTTTATTTTGATAGCAATTTATCATCTCTATATTATTTATTAGTCAATTAGTAACTTTTTTGAATGAAATAATTTTAAAGATAATTATTAAAAATTTATATAAAAAATTATTGCATAGACTCTTCTCACCACATCATCCACGGTCCTTATTAATTAAAATTTATCCACATTACAAAACAGTATATGTTTTAAATACTCTCAATCATTTGATAATGAACGTTGAATCACTATGCTACAGCCGCCGGTACTCGAACCCATGACTTCTAAGAAATAATTTTTTAATCACTGAAGTAAGTTGATTCGTACATTGGATAGACATCCATTAGTTTACTAAAATAACAATCTAATAAATAATTCATTTTTATTCCTCAAGATAACATAAAGGCAGAGACCAATTCCTAAACCACTTTGAGATTATCGATAGAACAATACAGCCTACTTCAATGGTTACAATGTTGTCACCTATGTTTTATCACCACCCATTTTGAAGCCCTGATTTGTTCATAGGATAGAAAGGAATTAACTTTTTCTATGTTTAACCAATATACTTTGTATTGTTTACCAACACCATCACCATTTAACCGGTTTCGCTTGGCTAAAGTTGGATAAATTGCAAGCAGCCAAAGTTGATATCAGATATATAGGATTGGGTAGGCTCATGCACTATCTTCCAACAATAAGAGCCACACAACGAATCCAATAGCTTTCTTCTGCCTTCCATGCCGTTTCATCCAACAACTTGCAGACAAACAAGAACATGCAATTTGAGAAAAAGGGTTTGTTTTCTCAAACAAAAAGGGGGTTTCCATAGTGAAAACATCATCCCCAAAGTCCAAAATATACTCCATGTTCTAACTCTCGACTCCACTTTGAACAAAAGTGAAAAGGGGATGTTGAAAAGGTGAGAATACTATAAGAACCCCCACCAAAAAGGGGGCACTCCAAAAGCCAATAGCTCTTGGCAACAAGCCGACAGAGCATCATTGCCGACCATCTTTTTATTCTGCAGAACATGCCCTTCCAAATGCTACATTCCATCTTTTTACGCTGCCTCCTTGGACTTTGCATCTTAGCTGCCGGTTCTACGTGCCTTTATCTTTTACATTGAATATATATAGGCATATGGCTATATCAAATCATCCTGTAGCGTTTTATTTAGAACCTTTGATAGGCAAATGGGAAGGCCGAGTGAAGTGGCGGTTTATTCATCCATTGCCCTCTTGCAAGAGAGGTTCAGACACTTGCAGAGAGCCAAGGAAATGAGGCGGGAGAGAGAGGTTCTGTGGCTTCTGTCCAAAGCAGAGCATATCAATCAAGCCACACCTCATCAGGCACCCCAATCGTTTTTTGGTTCTGAATTGATCCTTCTGCCTAGACCACCTCTCCAAGGATCTATCTACACTCAAACTAGCATGCATGCTCAGCATCATCAGGTTATTGATACTTTGAGTTTGTCGAATTTACAACCGAGAGATTCCGTCGTGCATCATGCATCCACCTTTAATGATTCAGATGTTGACACTTCACTTCATCTGTGAAAAATTGTACAATGCTGGCCTTTACCTCTTGTTGTGGGACTGTGAGAAATGGGGAAGGGGAAGAGGAGGGCGTTCAGGGGGAAAATAGTGATAGATAGTGTAATAGTAACTGCTGTTCATTGGGACTATCATTATCCTCCTTATAATCAGCAATTACATGGTATTTTGAGATGTCTTCCTCTTGCCTCTTTTCAAATCTATCTTCATACAGCTACCATTATAAAAAAAACAGCGGTCAACTGGCTGTTGCATGCAGCAGCAGTATAGGAATACAATAAAATCACCTTTATTTTCACAAACAGTTTACACTGAAGAAAAAAGAAAAATATTGACCATCATACACAAGGCTTATGAATGGCTGGAATTAAGATTAAATTCTCTTTCCTTCTCACTGCTACACCAAAAGCCTCAGTCATATCCAAATTTTCATATCCCATTCCATTAGGAAGCTTCCAATCAAAATGATAAAGTAATTTAGCCAAAGGCAATTCAATGTTAGGAAGTGCATACAATATGCCAGGACACATCCTTCTTCCTGCACCAAATGGGATGAACTCTAAATTTGTTCCTTTATAATCACTCGAACTATTCAAGAACCTTTCAGGATAAAACGTTTCCGGTTCGATCCAATACTTCGGATCTCTTGCAATAGCCCATGCGTTGATGATGACCCTTGTCTTTGCAGGTATCCCGTATCCATTAATTTCGCAATCCTCTCTACTTTCTCTTGGAACAAGCAGGGGAAATGAAGGGTGTAACCTTAAGGTCTCTTTGATCACTAATGCCAAGTATTTTAGTTCTTCAATATTGGCTTCATCCACATCTCCTTTTCCATTACAGACGCTTCTTACCTCATTTTGTGCCTTTTGTAGCACCCTTGGATTCCTCATCATTTCCGACATGGCCCAATCGACAATTGTTGACGATGTCTCACTTCCCCCACTGAAAACATCCTGAGAGATTATGAGCAACATTAGTTCAAAAAACAGAACATAAAATATGAAAGATTCTAATCGAAAACAACTACAACAAAACAGACATACTAACCCAAATGATTGCTTTGATGTCGTTGTCAGAGAGGGGAAGTTCGAGCTGTCCAAGTTGCTGAATTTTTAAAAGAACAGTAATGAGGTCTTCCCTGGCTTCTTCTCCTTCATCACCTATTTTGCCTCTCTCCAGTCTCTCCCTATGGTCATCGATGACGAATTGAAGTATCTTATCGCTCTTTTTTAAACAGAGTGTGGAGTTTTTTGCTCATTCCACTCATCAGTCGAACCACTTTGGAAGAAGGGTATATGTCTGCCATACTAAATCCGGAAGACAGTTTTACTATCTCCTCGACAATCGATGAGTAGGAATCCCTATCGTTGTACTTACTACCGAATGCTGCTCTTGATGTGATATCATATGTCAAGCCAAATATTTTCTTGCTGAAGTTGACAGGCAACCCTTCATTAGATGATATGTATTTAACGAGATTCGAGACTTCCTCTTGTCTGATTGATTCAAATGACTTGATTCTTTTCGCAGTTAAAAGCTCTAGAGTACAATTTTGCGTACCTGTCTCCAATAATTGCCGAAGGGTGCCATGACAATATCCCGGTAACCATAAGTAATGGTATCTATAGCAGTCATATAGGGTCTGTGAGCAAAGGTTGTACCATGTGTGATCAGGACTTCCTTGGCGATTTCCCGCGAAGAAACAACGATGTTGAAAGTTTCACCGAGCTGAAGGTGCATCAGTGGTCCATGTTTACCGGCAAGATCTCTCAAGATACGATGTGGTATTGAACCAGCCAGCTGATGAAGGTTCCCAATCAAGGGTAATTTCCATGGCCCTGGGGGCAGCCGCTGTGTGTTCGAATACAAGGTTTTCACTTTCTTTGCTATTTTAGCTACTACTGCCAAGAAAAGAAAGGAAGAAAACAAGGTTAACAAGGAGGGAAATTGAAGCTCCATTGCTACTGAAGCTCCATTGTTACTAAGGGATAGCATTCAATGACCAACAAATTAAATCGAGAGGAAGCAACAAGAAAAATAAAAAGAGAAACTATGGGCATAACTGTTTTGACGAACATAAAAGAATCTAATTTTATGGTGAGGGATACCATTCAATACCAAGGAAAAACTGGATTTTATAGATCAAAATCGGATCCAATTTGTGTGGGATCTAAGTCAAAAAAGGGGTATGTACGGGCCATTTTGATTGTAATAATTTCTCAATAAAAACAAAAAATTAGTACTCCCTCCGTCTCAATTTTTATGTTTATTGTTGTTTTTTCACGTAATTTTAAAAAGTAAAAATTTGTGTAAGAGATACGTTAAAAAAAATTAAAATAACAATTTAAGTGGGTAGAAAAAGGTAAAAAGGAAAATATACCTAATAAAAATTGTTGATTTTTTAAAAGAACAATTTAAGTGAAACAATTTTAAAATATATAAAAAAATATTTTTAATGAGACAGAAGTAGTGTATAGGACCATCGGTTGATTGTAATAATTGAGGCTACTAGTTGCCATGTCTGAACAGCCTAGTCTGCTTCAAAATGTTGACATTTTTAACTTGACTTGTGATTTTTTTTTGGATATTTTAAATTTTAAATTTAAAAATATTTCTTAAATGAATACATATATTCAGTCAATGTTTTAACGACTATCAATCGAGCATGCATATCCACTCTCATAGATGCATTTGGTTAACTTGATTCCTGAAAATCGACCGTATGATGTCTTTCCATTTTTAGTGCATTACCGAAACACAAACACGAAAACTGACGGGTCAAAGAAAAGTTGCACATCAATTGTTCATCCTCCTCTTGTCCAAATTCATTGTTGGTTTTTTGTTTGGACTATTTTTCCTCTTTTATTTTTAGGTCCACAAAAACTATAAATATAAAAGAATTAAAAATATATTTTAATTGAAACTACATTAGACAATTTTAATACTCAATGATTCATGAGATTCAGTTGTTCTATTTTAGTAGTGGCATCCCTGATTCAATTTGATACTCTTACTTCAGTATCGATACTATTGAGCGAGTATCGATGTTTGAGTATTTATACTCTCTTATTTAGTAGTATTTTCATTCTTTAATTTAGAATCGACCTTTAATATTCAAAACAAATAAAAATGTCCTTGAGTGATGAAATAAACAAAATAACCTTGAGTGTAAAAATGACCAAAGTAATCATATATTACAGAAATATGCTATCTAAGACTTAGTGACATCAGGTACCATTTCTTCTTTACCTGATATGCTTAGTGACATTAAGTATTATTGCATGCTATAAATCTTGATTCTTGACTCTAGGTATCCTATGATTATAGTTATGATTGTGTGGTAAATAATAAGTGGCGGATCGAGACATATTTTTTGTTGCGGAAGACGGCTATCGGATAGAGCAAAATCGCAACTGATAATTTGAAAAAATAAAAATGAAGATATGGAAAACCCCTGAATAATATAGGGTAAAAACCACGGGCAACGGTAGAAGAATTTCACTATGAGAAAATAGGAATTACAACTTCTCTCGATCTACCAAGGAGAAAACAATGATAATTCTCTCTAGATAAAAAGGAGAAAACAACTCTGAAGAAACTCTCTAAAATCTCTCTAGTATTGGAAGAAAGCTAGAATGCTTTGGGATGGTTTTGAAACTAAATGAGCTAGGGTATTTATAGTTGAAACTTAAGGACTAATCTTATAAATACCCTAAAGTTTAGTGACTAAAGTTTATAATTTACCCATTTAATTTTCAAACATTATTGCACCTAATTTTGACATTGTTGCACCTAATTTTGACATTACAATATTAGGTGCCTAACTTGAACCAATTTTCCAAGCTTTGACATTTCAACAATCTCCCACTTGAAGATTTGATTGGAACAATCATATCTTCACACCATTCTTTCTACCTTGTACCATCATGTTGCTTACGTCTCTGACAGGCCACAAGAAGATCGACACCAGGTAAATTTATCAGCGTTGATCGCCTTCGTCATGAAATCTGCTATGTTGTCTTTGGTATGGATCTTCTGTATATTTGCCGTTCCTTCTTCCACCTTTTCACGAATGAAATGGTACTGAACTCGTATGTGCTTAGTCCTTGAATGAAATGTTGGATTCCTTGCTAGATGCAAGGCGCTTTGACTGTCACAAAACAGAGAGACATACTCTTGATTGTGCCCAAGCTCCTCCAATAGCATCTTCAACCAAATTGCTTCTTTACTGGCTTGTGTAGCTGCTACATATTCTGTCTCTGTTGTGGACGTAGCCACAAGTGACTGCAATTTTGAAACACAGCTTACAGCTCCACCAGCAACTTTGAACACATATCCTGTAGTAGATTTGCTTTTATCCAAATCCCATGCATAATCAGAATCTACATACCCATTAATTAGTAAGTTTGATCCTCCGTAACATAATGCAACATTTGAGGTCCCTTTGATGTATATTAGGATCCTCTTTACTGTATTCCAATGCTCTTTGCCTGGATTCGCCATGTACCGACTAACCACTCCCACTGCTTGTGCAATGTCCGGTCTTGTGCATATCATAGCGAACATCAAACCTCCCACTGCTGATGCATACGGTACTCGAGACATCTTCATCCTCTCTTCTTCACTGCTAGGACTCATATTGGAGGATAATTTGAAGTTAATAGGAAGAGGGGTAGAAATTGGCTTACAATCTTGCATGCTGAATCGTGACAAGATTTTCTTCAAGTAATTCTTTTGTGAAAGCCAAATCTTCCTATTACTTCTGTCTCGGTGAATTTGCATCCCTAGAATCTTGTTTGCTGATCCCAAGTCCTTCATTTCAAATTCCCTATCCAGTTGTGCCTTCAATTCTTCAATATGATCTTTGTTGGGTCCTGCAACCAACATGTCATCTACATACAACAGCAATATAACAAAATCGTTATCACCAGACCTCTTGAAATAAGCACAAGGGTATGCATTAAGTCTGTTGTATCCAAGGCACATAATGAAGGAATCAA